ACATTATATGGAAGTAGCATTAGCTTATCAGTAGACCTGTTTAAGAGTTCCAGTGTAATTAGTGTCTTCGTGAGGAACAAACCCAAATTTTACTTTAAAAAAATAAAACATGTACTTTATTGCATTCTATAAGGATTAAATTCAGACAAAATTGTTTTTACACCAAAATCATCAACCAGTCTGATTTGTTCAAGGATTCACTTTGATTGCTTAAATTTGCATTTTTGGTTGTTGTTGCTGTTTTGTTTTGTTTTGTTTTGTTTTGTTTTTGAGAAGGGAGAGAGAATCTTTAGCAGGACCCTTGCCCCAGCAGGGAGCCCAATGGAGGCCTTGATCTCACAACCATGAGATCATGACCTGAGCCAAAATCAAGAGTTGGACACTTAACCAACTGAGCCATTCAGATACCCCTAAATTTGGTTTGGTGTTTTTTTTTTTTTTTTTTTAATGTTTGTTTATTTTTGAGAGAGAGACAGAATGTGAGCAGGGAAGGGGCAGAGAGACCAGGAGACACAGAATCCGAAGTAGCCTCCAGGCTCTGAGCTGTCAGCACAGAGCCTGATGCAGGGCTCGAACCCTTGAACCGTGAGATTATGACCTGAGCCGAAGTCAGACGCTTAACTGACTGAGTCACCCAGGTGTCTCATGGTTTTTTATATATAAATGCCTCTGACCCTGTCAGTTTCTGTGAGAAGGATTTTTTTCTTAGAAGGCCACCACATTTAATATATTACGGTACTCTTTTAATAAAAAGTAGAAATTTTGACATTTTATACATTTTAAAGCATTAGGAAAGCAATCGTGCATTGGTACATTTCTGCAGTTACAGTGCAGACATCCTGTACTGTATAGTGAGACTCATATATGAACACAAGAAATGAAGGCGATCCGTCAGGAACCACGGCGAGAGGGTGGGATGTCTTCTCATGTGTTTCAAAATCAGCTGGAGATTTCTTAAAACATGGACTCTTGGGCTTAACTCCCAAAGTGTCTAAGTCAGTTGGTCAGAATTCTGGACTCAGAACTTATATTTCTAATGAGTCCCTACATTACACTGATGGTGAAGGTCCAGGGGTGAAACTCTGAGGACAAGCTTTCTAGGAAATACGACGTTGCCTCCCTCCAGGCCCTGAGTTCGTAGGGCTGTAGGTTTATAAAGTCCAAGGGATAGAGCCTTGGTTTCTAACTGACATTCCCTGAGTGCCTCTGCAATGAGCAAAGCAGACAAATAAATAAAGAACAGTAACAAAAAGGCTACTATACTTAAAGTATTGTACATTCACTGCTTTAATTCCTGAGGATTCTTATGTGCCTTTCTTTGTATGATACTTTTATAAGTCATATTACTATCTGTAAACCAATAGAAACAGATCTTTTAATAAAATTATACCTAATTAAGTTAAGACCCTCTCCAGAAGTAGAAAAGTGTTTCAGAGTCACAGAAGTAGTAAAATCCTCTGTCAAGTACAGACACACAGAGAGCTTACACCTTCAGGTCTAAAACTTCAGCCACAAGTTAAAGGAAACGCAGATACATCCATTACACTGATCTAGATCTCAGAGGACTTTGCTTCTGTCCAGTAGAAGCAAGACATTCTTCTACAGACGAAAAGACTGACATACAAGATGCTTCGGCATGCCACACCCAAAAGACAATAGGTCACCCTCGTCCTGTAATGGGGAACAACACACGGTGCAGACCAGAATCAGAACCGAACATAGCTGAGAACCAGGAACAAAAGTAAAAATACAAAGTCAGGAAAATAGAAACAGTAAAACAAAACAAAACAGAAACTGAAGAGAAGATTCTGCTGCCACTTGGTAATCACTGGAGGAGCCAGAAACCAGTGTACAGGAGGTACACTTTTTAATTGGTCCAGGAAGGTGTATCTGCTTGAACAACTTGTTATTCCAAAAGTGCCAAAGTAGAATTCTCAAAAAAGTTAAAAACAAGACTCTCCAGGCACCTGGGTGGCTCAGTCAGTTAAACATTGGATCTTGGCTTTGGCTCAGGTCATGATCTCAGGGTCATGAGCTCCAGCCCCTTGTCGGGCTCTGGGCTGACAGCGACCACCTCCTGCTTGGGATTCTCTCTCTCTGCCCCTTCCCCGCTTGTATGCACACTCTCTCGCTCTCTCTCAAAAATAAGTAGACCAAAAAAAAAAAAACAGGACTCTCAATACACGTCAGCATATTATCTAACCTTTACAGGGGAGCCAGCGTGGTTGTAAGGGCAGTTACACTATTGTTGACAATTATTACAGGGGCCCAAACTCAGATACTCAAAGGGGCCGGCTAAGCAGTATAAATGAGGAAGACAGGCATTTACAGCATCCAGAGTGCGGCGGGAGTGAGTCATACTTGTCTCAAGGTGGCAGCTGTTAAAGATGCTGGCTCATCGTTCCCTTGTGGGAATGCTTGCTTATCCCTATCTTTAATATTTTTTTCACACAGCTATTAATCTAGATTTTAATGTGAATCTTCCTGTTTTAAAATGTTGATTCAGTTGTGGGGAAAAAACTGTATGAGCCAAACAAAACACATCCTCAGGGCAGAGATGGCCTGAGGGCCATCACTCTGCAACCTCTGCAGTGGGTATTACTTATGTAACATGACAACAAAGGAAGAGTTCATCCAAAAGTTGTATTGACAGAAAGTTTTAAAAGATTTCTTTTTAAACTGTTTATTTGCAATTTTTTTATAAGAGTGAAAAAAAAACCGTGACAGTGTTTTGTCACCTGGTATGCCCACCACATACTCACCATGCATTTCCATTTTAAGTTCTATCCTTGGTCCACTTAAAATACAGTTACTCGTTTTCTGGAGATCTGTTTCACAACAGTGTGAATATTGTTAACACTACTGAACTATACATTTGAAAACGGTTAAGATGGAAAATTTTATGTCGTGTTTTTTACCATATATACACATACATTATTGAACATTTAATGAATTTATTCAAATGAAATTACTCATTTTAAATGGTTTTTGGAGGGTCATATATATCAGGGGAAAGCCTGGTGACAAGGAGGGACTCGGGAAGACGACTGTAACGGGCTTGTTAAATGGTCACGAGAACTTGTTTCGGGAACTACATTTACTAATGGGAATGGTGATCAATTTGAGAGACGCCTCTGGAGCTGAATTGGGAGAATTTCATAAAAAAACAATATGGGGCTTGAGGAAATAATAAAAAGGTTAAGGTTTCTTTCTTGGTAACAGACTATACCAATAATTAAATTAGAAAACAAGAACAGATTCAAGGGAAATTAGTTCAGCTTTAGACAAGCCATGGAATTTCAGGATTTAAGGAGACCTACAGGTCACCAGATGCAACCATCCCATTTTACAGATGTGAAAATCAAGGCCCCAAGAGAGGAAATGATGCCTTCGATGTCATAGTTTAAAATCAGAAGCAGGACTTTACAAGTTCTAGACCCAAAGTTCATCTTTCCCCAGTACACAGTGTCTGCTCACACACGCCTTGCTAAGTTCAGAGATGAACTTGTGGGGTGACCCCCAGGCTGCTGCCACCTGTGAGTGAAGGAGGCCCACAGATCTCTTCCAGACACCGGGTATCCGGCCCTGTCTCTTGCTCTCTGAACTGCAAGTGTGCCTCATCTCCTCTTTGTAGCCTTTTCTTTAGTTTAAGCCCCTTGTACAACCTGTAAATGGAAATGGTTTGTAGACATTGGTAATTTCATGCCTGCAGTTCAACTTAATCCCGTTAGAATTATGGGAATTCAAAGGAAAGGTTGGGGCTACAGGTAGAGATTTGTAAGTTTCCATTTCTTGAAACATTAAAAGGAATTGTGAATATATAACTATATAATAGCCTAAAGAATTTGGACTTTATCTGAGGCACTTGGGTGGTTCAGTCGGTTAAGTGTCCAACTTCTCAGGTCATGATGTCCCGGTTTGTGAGTTCAAGCCCCCATCGGGCTCTATGCTGACAGCTCAGAGCCTGGAGCTGCTTCAGATTCTGTGTCTTCCCCTCTCTCTGCCCCTCCCCCCACTCACGTTCTGTCTCTCAATAATAAATAAATATTAAAATTTTTTTAAAAGAGAAGTTGGACTTTATCTTATTAGAGATTCTCAACCTTAGCTGTACATAAGAATCGGTAGGTCTGGGAAGGACTAAAGTATCATGGTTTTTTTTAAATGTTTGTTTATTTTTGGGAGAGACAGAGCACGGGTGGGGGAGGGGCAGCGAGGGGGAGACAGAATCTGAAGCAGGCTCCAGGCTCTGAGCTGTCAGCATAGAGCCTGATGCGGGGCTCGAACCCAGGAACCATGAGATCATGACCAGAGCTGAAGTCAGACGCTTAACCAACTGAGCCACCCAGGCGCCCCAAGTATCGTTATTTTTTAAAAGTTCTAAAGGCTTCTTATGCTCGGCTAAGACTGCTTTAAGCAGTTCAAAACTGTAGAAGGATTTGAAGCAAGAAGTGAGATAATCAAATATGCATTTTAAATATAATTCCAGCTTAAATGGGTGGAAAGAGACTTGCAATAGTCCAGGAAAGAGACGGTAATCGTTAATGACTGTAGAATTATTTCAGTGAGTTAATTTTCCATAATAATTCTCTGCCTTACATATAGCACATATGTTTCTAGGGTATGTGTGTATGTGTAAATTCACTGTCATCTCCAAAAAGTGAATCTTTTTGTTTGTTGTTGTTGTTACTCCTTTTAATTATTTTGCTAGGACGGATTCCCAGAAGTAATTCTATGGAGTCAGAAGAAACGAGTGGTCTGGCTCTTGACTGTCTATTGCAGTGATGGTTATAATCAGTGTACAGTGTTCCTCTCCATGTGGGAGGCCAGATACCAACTTTAGAATCACTTATAAGGTTCAAAAGAAGAAAAATTATTGGGATTTTGATTAGAATAATTTTATTATGAATTAGCAAACAATTATCGGAATAATGTTTATATTTTGTTTATGCTATTTTACATGATTTACCTGAATATTTAATTACTAAATTTATCTTTAACAGATTGATGAACTCCCAGAGGGAGCTGTGAAGCCTCCAGCAAACAAGTACCCTATCTTCTTTTTTGGCACCCATGAAACGTAAGTCAGCGAAACAACGTGAAGTTTCAGCACCTCTCATTTAGCTGTGGTAGACCACGTTGTTTATACCTGATCTTGTTGAAATGAGCGCAATCATATAAAATCACCAAGCTCAGTAATATATTTTTCTTAATGTGAAGAGGTTTCGTTCATTTTACTTTTGAATGTTACTCTGTGTAAATAACTGTTGGACACAATGCAGCATCTCCTTTAGGGCCTGTACGCCTCGGCTCGCCTCCTTCCCACTCCCAGTGACTTCTTTTGTGGCTCTTGCATACTTCCCTTCTGGAGAGACTACGTCCATTCATATTTCATACAACAAACTTATATTCTCTCGGGCTCTGAATTTGTTGAACCCGGAAGCAAACATACCAGCCTAATAAGGTTTTTGAATTGTGTTGGGTGGAGCACAGACTAAACTGCTGGATAAAGGGACCTGAAAATACAGTGTCTCAGATAACAGACATTTCTTCCTTTGCTTTGAAACCGTGCAGAGGTAGGCAGGTAGCTCAGGGTGGGGTAGACTGCTATGCTCTGGGGACCCAGGTTCCTTCTGTCGCATTGTCCTGTCGTCCCCTGGGCTGCTGCCTTGTCTGCTGTTTAAAAACAAACAAAAACTGGCTCAGCAGCACCTGTGTATCGTCGGTGGGGAGTGGGGGGATGCAGAAAACGTGAAGAACAGGTAACTTCTGTGCAAGGAAGTGACAGGGAAGTTACATATGTCACTCACACTTGCACCCATGGCAGTGGCAAAAACTTGGTCCTGTGGCCATGTGTTGCCATCGGGGATTAGGGAGCAAAGTCTCCAGCTTGGGCAGCTATAGGGAAGAAAATGGAAGGAGTGATTAATCCATGAAAGAAGGAAGCTAGTAGATACCATGAGGCAATGGTCGGTCTTGACACACTAAAAACATGTGTGGTCTGTCACACAAGGACACAAATGGAAAAGGGGTTGCATATGTGAAGGAAGCTAAAAACTGTCACAAGGGGCGCCTGGGTGGCTCGGTTGGTTGAGCATCCGACTATTGGTTTCGGCTCAGGTCATGATCTCACGGTTCATGGGTTCGAGCCCCACGTCTAGCTCTGCATTACCAGCGTGGAGCCTGCTTGGGATCCTCTCTCCCTCTTTCTCTCTCTCTCTCTGCCCCTCCCCTGCTTGTGCTGTCTCTTTCTCAAAATAAGTAAAACAGGAAAAACTGTCATGAATTCTTACAAGTCTCCAAATTCAGGGTCATCCCATGTGTTCATGTGAGTGTGGTAGGGCCAGCCGTGGACTGCTTCTTAACTTGCTGCCTCTGCCACTCTGACATCTTGTCCGTGCTCACCTTTAAAGGGAGCTAGCCAGGGGAGAGAGGGCCCTGAAGACGCATTTATTTCTTGTCTTCATGTGAGAAAGAGCTGTGTTTCTTTCAGGAAGTTAGTTTTATTTTTTTTGTTTTTATCTAATAGACTGTGCAGTATCCAACTTACCATGTTGTCCTCTTTAGAGAGGTTGCTAGAAAGCTTAGAAGTAAATGCTTTATCTATAATAAGTGCAGCGGGCTTTGTGGTACAGTTTTTCCATTTGCCTCATTCCTTTCTCCATTTTACATCTATACCATTATTTTGCTTTTTCTCTAAGACCCATTTCCAAGTGATTTGATCGTATTTCTGGGACTAGGCAGGATTTAATAAACAAGATTATCCCTTTTCCACTATACGGGACAAATCAACTATTTACTAACACTGTGTGGTCACTTTTATTTACTTGGTAAACATTTTCTGGGCGGTCTTTAAAGCACTATAAATAAAGAGCTTGCCGCCTGGTGTGCAGCTGGTGCACGTAACAGTCATCCCAGCGAACGGTGTGAAGCGTTTCTCGGAGCCGATCCATACAGCACCCTTGATGTAAGTCCATGGCGTCCTTTCACGGCTCTGTTCAGTAAAAGGAGTTCTGCCAGGGAGCGATGTAGGAGTCCATATGTGACCTACAGACGTAGGTTTTGAAACATCTAGAGGAAAATGAACTTCAAAAAACCTGCTGCCGTGAGTTTGTTTCAGCTGGTTAGGTTGTTCCGTTGATTAGGTATCGGGAGTCCCTGAACCGGCGATCACACGCCGAGGCAGGTAGCGGGTGGTCAGCCTGTCTGCGAGGCAGAGAGCGCGGGCACGTGGCACGCGGGGAGACACGGTGCGTAGCACAGCGCCTGGCCAGGGGGGAGTGCTTCAGATAGTAGCTGCTGGGTGAATTAAAATTCACTAAATGAAATAAAGGTGAGGAACTTCACAAGAAAGCTGTGCGCAGGTCAGCCAAGCACCCCTAAGAAGACTAGAATTTTCCTCAGGATATGGCGTGCAGTTTATTCTGATACCCAGACGGTTAGGTAGTTGAAACCCCAAATTCTTCTCTTTCACATAACTGAACCCCAGTAGTTTTAGTCTTGACAGTTTTCAAGGCAGCCTTCACCAGGAGGGGAAAAAAATGACCTCCTTAGAGCATGGAGCTTTGAACAAGCCTTCCCTTTAAGATTTGCGTAACTTGCAGGAAAATCAACCAACTGGGAGGAGATTTGATTTGTGGAATTATGTGTCTATATTCTAGGAAAAAACATTGTATATCAACAAATAAGTTGTTTTAGAACAGCTCATTCGGGGCTCTTCTTTCTGGCAACAGCTGACGTGGCCAGGTGACCATTAACCCTGCCTCCTGTGGCTCCACAAAGCAGCGCAGGCCGTGGGGAGCATCAGTAGCTGACGTGAACCTCAGGCAGCTTAGCCCACAGTTAAGTACACATGGAGTCAGATGCCTGAGAAAGGCCCAAAGCCGTCGTCTAATAATGCAGACCACATCTCTCTAGAAGTAATATCGTCATACCCAAAGTCCATTTCTTTCTCATGTTCAGTTTGTCAAGTAAGACACTGACATGCCTTTGACCAGAATGTCCAGTAACCTGAGAAACTATGTCTGGATTTAGTGAGAGAGAGTCATGTTGACCAAGCAGTCAAGGGTCAAGGAAGTTTTGGTGGTTGGGGTCAGAAAGCTTCCTCAGGTGTTTTAATCGGCTTGAAAATTTTGATCAGCGAGGCAGTGAAGAATCAGCATAAAGCCTCAGTCAGGAAATGGAATTTATAACGCTCAACGGTAAACTATTAAGTTATAATCTCAGAGCTTTCAACATCATCTCTGTGGATAATTTCCAATACATGATCTCCAGCTCAGACCTTCCCCCTGAGTTCCAGAATCACCTCTCCAGCTGCCTGCCTGACCTCCTCCCTTGGATGTAGAACCGGGGTTTCAAACATAACATCGAAAACTGAGCCTTTCACCCTCAAATCTTGTTCTCTCAAAAATCTTTCATTCCAGGGGCGCCTGGGCGGCTCAGTTCGTTGAGCATCTGACTTCGACTCAGGCCATGATCTCACGGTCCATGGCTTCGAGCTCCGCATTAGGCTCTGTGCTGACAGCTCGGAGCCTGTAGCCTGCTTCAGATTCTCTGTCTCCCTCTCTCTCTGCCCCTCCCCATTTGCACTCGGTCTCTCTCTCTCAAAAGTAAACATTAAAAAAATTTCTTTTATTAAAATAAAATCTTTCATTTCAGTAAATGCCAACTCTGTTCTTCTAATTTCTCAGTCTGCATCCTTGGAGACCACCTCAACTGCTCCGTCTCTCTCACCTGGCACCCCCCAGCCCCTTAACAAATCACGTCGCCTCTCTCTTGAGAGTGAATTCAGAATCCAGCTACTTGTCACCAACCGCACTGCTTACACCCCGGCCCAGGTCACCAGCATTACCTCAGTGGCCCGATTTGTCTCCCTGCTTCTGCCCCCATGCCCTCTTCCCCGGTCTGTTTTCAACACAGTGGCCAAAGTGATCCTGTTAAAACACAAGCTGTCACTTCTCTTCTCAGACCTTTCTTGGTTTCCCACGTGACATTAGCCTTCAAGGCCCGGATAATCTGTGCGCCATCCCGGCCTCCTCCCTGACCTCCTCTCGCCCTCCCCTCTCCGCACCCCTCACCCCAGCCGCGCGGGCCTCTTCATTTCTTAAACACAGCGGCCCCTCCCACCTCAGGGCCTTCCGGCCGCGCCTGCCCTGCCCGCGCCTGCCCTGCCCGCGCCTGCCCTGCCCGGTGTCTGCTCTGCTCTTCCGTCCTCCGATGCCCCCCTGTCCGCGAGGCCTCCTGTGACCCGTGTACCTGGGATTGTAAAGTCCACCCCAGGCCTGCCGTCCCCCTCCCTACCTCTTTTAGCACACAGCACCGTGGGTCTCCTTTCCGTCTTTGTCCACACCCCTGCTCGCACCGCTGGACTGCGTGCTCCCTGAGGGTAGAGGCATTTGTCTGGTCCCTTTAGAACCCGCTGCGTTGGTGGTGTAGTGGTGCGCGTGGCTGCGTTCCCTGTGGAATCTGCAGCACCTCAGCCGTGCCTGCACTGTAGCCTTGCCACTCACAGCTGCCTCCCGGCTGAATACAGGCAGCTTATTTGAAATGGGAGCTTCTTGGGTGTCAGCCAGCACGTGGGCCTCTACCGCCTCACTGGTGTCACGGGTGACAGTGCCGAAGACTCTGGTGTGAACGCTGGGATCTGTTGGCCAGCCCCAGGGTTTACCCCAGCTCATTTCCTTTTTATGGTTGTGATTAATTTAGGATCAGGTTTAAATTGTGTCACATTCTATCAATTTGCTACTTCTGATTTTTTCTTGTTTTTTAGTGCCTCATTAAACACTAATGTGATTTTTTAATTTACGGAAAAAATAGTGAATAAATATACTAATGTGGTATATAGCTTAGCATAAATAAGTCTTAGTTTAAGATGATGATTTAGGTGGTCAAAGGGGACATCTTTAAAACTACCTTTATGGGGCAGCGGATGGCTCAATAGGTTAAGTGTCCAACTTCGCCTCAGGTCATGGATTCAAGCCCCGGGCTAGGCTCTGTGCTGACAGCTCGGAGCCTGGAGCTGCTTCCGATTCTGTGTCTCCCTGTCTCCCTCTCTCGGTACCTCCCCTGCTCACGCTCTGTCTCTCTCTGTCTCCAAAAATAAATAAACGTTTTAAAAAAGTTTAAAACTACCTTTGTAACTAAAAGTCAGTTTTAAAACAAAACATAAATTGGTAATTTAAAAGTAAAATGAAAGCAGTACAGTCTAGAGTTCCTGGCTTCTGTAGCCAGGCTCTCCATTTTCTCTGCCTTGAAGCGCACGTGTAAGCATTCTGTGCTGTGTGCTAACTCCGAGAGTTTATTATACTTTTAGTTTGTTTACTAAAATATGTTCTGACACCTTTGTTGATATTGATATTAAAAATCTCGTACGTTTGAAGGTCAAATGTATTCTATTTCTAAAATATCTCTGCAGTGCATTTTTAGGTCCCAAAGACCTTTTTCCATATAAGGAATACAAAGACAAGTTTGGGAAGTCAAACAAACGGAAAGGATTTAATGAAGGATTGTGGGAAATAGAGAACAACCCAGGAGTGAAGTTCACTGGATACCAGGTAATGGTTTGCTTCCTTGTTAGATCTCATTTCTTTGGGGCCTTTGTTATATGTCCTTTCATACTAGTAGTTACCCTCCTTTCATCTATCTGAAATCAGAGTTTAGCTCCAGTAATATTTTAGATTAAATATAATTCTGTTACCCAAGGGGGTTCAAGTCAAGTGGTCACTGGAAAATTGAAGTTGACAGTCCTTTATTTTGGAATCTGAAGAGCAAGCTGAACCCTTTCAGATTAAACTAGAATGACTCTTCTCACAGTCTCTGTTCTTTGCTAATTGTTCAAAACTGTGATTAGCCAGTATCTTGCTGTTTCGTAGGCAATCCAGCAACAGAGCTCCTCGGAAACGGAGGGCGAAGGGGGAAATACCGCTGACGCGAGCAGCGAGGAGGAAGGGGACCGAGTGGAGGAGGACGGAAAGGGCAAGCGGAAGAATGAGAAAGCGGGCTCCAAACGGAAAAAGTCCTACACTTCAAAGGTGACCGAGAGCCGTTTCCGTTGTTACCCGTGTTATGCGCACATTCATTAGATGGCCTTTGACTCCGTCAGTCCGTGGGCACCTAGGAACAGCTCTGTGGAGCCTCTGCCTCGTGGACACTAACGGAGCCGAGGGCGTAGGACAGGTGACCTTGCACGTGAGGGCAGCTGGCGGTTGACTCTTCAGGGCTGATCTGGCTCTGAAAACACTGCTGCTCAGTTGGAGAAGGACTGTTCTTCAGCCCCGGGGACAAGGGCAGGTGTGCCGCCTGCGGTCACCTCCAGATGAGTTCGGAAGGCGTCGGGGATGTAGGAGACCAGGACGCTTCCGGACCGGTCTAGGCAGATAGAAAGATAGACTCTTAACCTGTCTTTCTGCTTTAACGAATGTATGAATAATACATATAAATGAAGAGAGGACTGAAGGAAACAAGTGGGAGGAGAATGTACTTTAGAGAGAGGGGCCAGGCCTTGCTGAAGAGAAGAGGCAGAGTTCATACCGAGGCCTGAAGAAAGCGGGGCGGGCACGTTTGTGGCAGAGCAGCCCAGACTGAGGCAGGAAGAGGCTGGCCCGGCCTGAACTGAAGAAGACAGGCGTGGTTGGGGGTCATGACCAAGAGGGAGAGGCAGGCAAATGCTCAGTCATGGAGACTCGTGTGCCACGTTAAGGAATTTGGATTTATTTCCAATGTGACGATAATCTATCGAAGGCTTTAAACAGAGGAGTGATGTGATCCTAGATTTACAAATTAAAAGTCTAGGTTTTTCATACAGTAACCCAGACATACAGTTGAACAGACTATGAGATTGTGGAAATTTTAGAAACTGGAAGCAAGATAAGTTGATCTCTGAAAACCAGAGATTGGTACAAGTTTCATTATAATTGGTCTGTCACACTATTGAATACTTGGATAAATTACTGCCATTTAGATTCTGGTATTCAGTAGCTGGACACCAGACCTAGGAAACTCCTCAAGAACCAAGTCCCAAGAGTTTAAGAGATGATCAGCATTTTATTTTACAATCTATAAAATCTACCCCACAGGCATACAGGTGAAAGTGTATGAATACATATTACTTTGTACATAATGAAACACGGGGTATTTGCCTTGGATGGAGATACAGTTTGCAAATCACAACAAGATAATTAGAATTTTCCTTGTTAGATTGTATCTCCCATTGCATTTTTTAAGCTGAATTTTTTTTTTTAGCATTTTGAATTTCACTTAACCACGCAGTTGAATTGATTTTTTTAAATTTATGACTGCCTGCTGAGCTGTGCAATGTATTGTACCACCTAAGCTACCTAAGGTAGTGGAGGCATTTAACAGTGTGGATATGTGGCTTTTAAGTGCCATTATTCCATTGCTTGCTGTGATGTCCAGAAGTAAGGGGACTCATGCCTAGTGTAGATAGATGATTGAAAGCAGTGAAGGGGTGAAGACATACTTTACTTACTAAGGTTTCTCTATGTTCAATTAAGGGATCGTCTTTTTTTGCTTTTCCTTCCAGATCACACCTTTCATGATCACTTAAGAACCGTGACTTTCTTTTTACTCTTTACTGTTTTATTTATCGTCAGAAGAAATTATGCACAAACACACAGACTTTGGAAGAACCTAAATGGTTTTTAATTTTCATTATTAACTGAGAAACCTAGCACGGTGGTTCTCGAACTTCCACATGCATCAGAATCACCTGGAGGACTTGTTAAAACACACATTGCTAAGCCTCACCCCCTGAATTTCGATTTCAGTAGGTCTTGGGTGTGGGTCTGAGATTTAAATTTTCAGGCAAGGCTGATGGCTGCTGATCTGGGAACCATGTTTAGAGGAGCGCTTACCTGACATAACCTCCTTGTCCTTGGCTTCCCAAATGTTTCCTTTTTGTTGAAAACAGTGCTCTTTTCTTAACACCTGTTCCTGAAAGTTGAATAATCTACCTTTGCCACTGAAAACCAATGGTTCGCAAACTTTTGACTACATCCCAGTCAAAAAGCAGATTTGAAGGAGTTCTGTCTATCTCTTTGGCAGTAAGTATATGGGTGATTCATATATGGCCATAACAGATCCTGGAAAATTATAGGTCAAAGCATTTTGCACGCACATTACTTCCTGCATAAAGTAGGGCAAATTAGAGCCTCACAGCAGAGCAAACCAGTGATGGTGCTGAACCACTGAGGTGTAAAACAGACGTGGCAGCAGTAGGACACACAACCGATTCGAGACCACAGTGATGAAACAGATGAAGGGCTCCTCCCCACAGTTACAGGAATTACCCTGATCTGAATTTGCAGCACAAGCAAAGCTTAGCAGGGTCACCAGATACAGCCCGGGGGCCAGGTCTCTCAGAATACGACTATGGCTCTACAGTGAAACTTTAGGAAAGCCCTGATTCTAGTCTGTGTAGTGCCGAGTTAGAAGGCCTATAAATTCACTCATGGGGTTACTCAGAAGTATCCTTGTAAGCATTAGAAATCTTAGGGATTTGTGTATTATTACCTCTAAGAATTGTAGGTCAGAGATTATTATTTGAGAATTACTACATAAAGCAGTCACTACGTTTCAATAGTTATACTGTATTTACTAGGAAAACAAAAAGTATTCTGCTTTTTGTATTGTCCTCCTTGATTTTAGCTTAAATGATAGACCCTCCATGTTTGGATTATTAAATCTCTGCTTTTCTTTCATGTAAAAAGTAAAGATGTCCTCATTTTATGCTGACATTTTGGGCTTGGTTGGTAGTTTCAGTTAAGTAAAATAGAAGCGATGTAATTATATGGTCTATCGCAGAGCTAGAAGATACGTTCTTCTGGGAAGTTGTGTTTAAAATACTGTCTGAGGAGTCTCCCAATTTGCTATTCACTTCTGGAAGACCAAAAGTGACTTGGCTAAACCAGTTTTGCCTCAGCTCTTATTTCCCAGTTGCTTAAAGCTCTTAAGAGTCCTCAAAAAGGACATGTTAGTGAAATGCTACATTTTACTTTCTTAAAGGTGCACAGTGGGACCAGCTTTTGATCCTTTTAATGCTATTCTGCAAGCAGCTTTGGCTGTAAACTATAATTGCATTTTCATTTTCCTTAAGTTCATCTTGATTTCAAAAGCAAGGTGAAAAGAAAAAAAGGGCTAGTTCCCTCAGGTTCTTAAATACTATCTGCGATTTAAAAGATTACACTAGTTTATATCACACGGTGATATAAATGTTGGGATTACATGGATCCTGTCAACCACTCGGCTTCAACAGCTTTAACATGAATATTCCTGTATTATCTAAGATCACTCACCTCACGCTGTGGGCCTGAGTTTCTACTGTAAAACGATGAGGAAAGACAGGACGGCCTGACGGCGCCTTCTCGCTCTGCAGCCTCCTGACGGGGTGTCCATCCGGCTACCATTTATTCATGAACAATGTTCTGGGCACACGAATCTACATTAGTGCATTGAACATCGCCCTGCTGGAAGGAACTAGCAGGTCACGTAGTTCGCCTCTACTTCCTTCCCCAGCTCGCTACCCTGAGGCCCAGTGAGGGGAAACGAGGCGCCCGGGCCACCCCGCCCAGCCTGCCTGGCGGCACTGGTATATCTGGTGGCCGGGCCACAGAGACGGGCCGTGGGGCAGCCACTTCTCCGGTTCTTACTTGCCCTCGTGCGTCTGGATTTGTACTTTTGACTCTAATTTTTAACTTGTCCAAACATTTAGAAATCCTCTAAACAGTCCCGGAAGTCCCCCGGAGATGAGGACGACAAGGACTGCAAAGAAGAGGAAAACAAAAGCAGCTCCGAGGGTGGAGATGCCGGCAACGACACAAGAAACACAGCGTCAGACTTGCAGAAAGCCAGCGAAGGGGTAAGGCCGCCGTGCGTTCCCTCCCACCTTCTAACCTAGAAGATGCTAGACATGGGCAGTGTTCACGGTCAGCAGCAGTAAACACTGCCCTAGCAGAAGGAGACGGATTCGCAGGCTGAGCCGAGGATGTGCGCGTAGCACCCGGGTGAAGGGTTAGCTGCTTAGGGTCTGAGGACAAAAGAGAGCCAGTTGGGAAGCACACCTGCCTATCCGTTTGGAACTGTGAGCAGTTCGTTCTTTTTTAAACTAACTTCAGCAACTTGAGTCTTTGATTTTCTTTTTAATGTTTATTTACTTATTTTGAAAGAGAGGGTGAGCACATGTTCACAAGCGGGGGGGGGGGAGGGGGTGGGCGGAGAGAGAGGGGAGAGAACCCTAAGCAGGCTCTGCACTGTCAGCACAGAGCCGGACCGGGGCTTGAGCTCACGAACTGTGAGATCATGACCTGAGCGGAAATCAGGAGCCAGACGCTTAACTGACTGAGCCACCCAGGTGCCCCAACTTGGGAGTCTTTTAAAAAGTAAGATGTGAAATACTGAAATTATGAAATGCCATCTCAAATTTTACAGTTCTATTTAGAAGATGAATGGCATGTTCAAAATATGAGATTTCATACCCTCTTTATTTCCTAGAAGCTGTTTGTTTGTACTTGTATGTACCCGAAGGACCCGAATACCCGAAGTATTCGAACAACATGTGAACAGTGGTATTTAACGTACTAATGGGGAAGACTTGTTCACTTTGAATTTTCTTAACTCTTTTTTAAAGGATAGTTGACGTACAATATTGTAGTAGTTCCAGGTGCACAACAGTGCGTGCACGTGTTTAGACCTTGCTGAGTGTTCACTGTGCTAAGTGTGGTTGCAGTCTGTCCTCATACCAAGTTACTGCCGTACTCTTGACTCTGTTCCCTGTGCTGCACTTTACATCCCTGGGACTTACTTGTTTTCTAACGGGAAGTTTGTACCTCTTCGTCCCCTTCACCCGTTTCACCCATTTCACCCACTCCTCACCCTCCCCCTGGTGGTAGACAAAGTGTGCCTCCTATATCTGGGACTGTTTTGTTTTGTTTGTTCGTTTGTTTTGGTTTTTAGATTCCACGTATGAATCTAAAATTCATAATTTTATGAACTCATTTATGAATAAAATGAAATCATAATGGCACTTGTCTTTCCAGCATATTTCACTTATATACTCTAGGTCCATCCGTGATGTCACAAATGGCAAGCTTTCATTCTTTTTCATGCCTGAGCAATATTCCTCTGTGTGTGTGTGTGTGTGTGTGTGTGTGTGTGTGTGTGTACACCATATCTTTGTCCATCCATCTGTAAGTAGACATTTGGATTATTTCTATATCTTGTCTATTGTAAATAATGCTTCAGTTAACATAAAGTTGCATGTTTCTCTTTAAATTGGTGCTTTCATTTTCCTTAGTTAAATACCCAGAAGTGGAATTACTGGTATTTCTAACTTTCTGAGGCACCTCCACGCTGTTTTTCCGAGTGGCTGCACCGGTTTATGTTCCCGCTGACAGTGCACGAGGGTTCCCTTTTTTCCCATCTTGCCAACACTTGTTACTTCTTACCTTTCTGATTCTAGCCATTTCTGACAGGTGTGGAGGGATCGCTCCCCTCAAACACGCCTCCCTTCCCCCACACATCCTGTTCTTTTTACTTTTCTCTTCATCTCTGAACTTCCTAAAGGACTTCTTCTCCCAGCATCCACTTCCTCAGCCGCACACACACGCCTTACTCCGTGACGCTCCAGTGCGCCTCCGCCGTCCCACGGGAGCGCCTTGTACCAGCCCCGCCGATGCTCTCCCTGCCGGGCCCAGGGTCCTTTCCGTCTTTACTTTCCCTCTGCGGCGTTCCGTGCCGTGACCCCCCCCCCCCCCGGACTTTGCCTGCAGGCCCTGCCGCTTCCCCACGCGGCCCTGTGCGGTCCCGGCAGAGCTCCCGCCTCGCACGCCACTCGCCTGCAAGCCTCCCCACGTCCGGCTTCTCCCTCTTGTGGTTTCAACTGTTTATTATAGATTACGGATAACGTCCCCCTGTGTCTCCTGCATTGTGGATCTGTCTTTCTAACCATTAAGGAAACATTTCTACTTGAAGATCTTGAATGCACTTCAGGAAACAGTAGCTTTTAGCAGTAGCGCAGCCGCCGAGTGAACGGCTCCAGTTACTCTGTGCCTTAGACTGTGCCAAGCGCTCAGTGCGTTGTCTCATTTAATCCCCACACAAATCCCAGGATATAGACGGAGGCATTACCCATTTTGTACCTGGGGAAAATGAGGCTGGGAAGATTGGCCCGGGGTCGCATAGCTGGTAGGAGCCTGAAATCCATTCATTTTTCCATTCGTTCCTTTAAATTGAAGTATAGCCGACATACAGTGTTAGTTTCAGGTGCACAGCGGAGTGACTTGACAAGTCTGTGTGTCATGCTGTGCTCACCACACAACACTGTTACAGCGTCGTTCACTGTTCCCTATCCTGACCTTGTCCCATGACTTATTCCTTAACTGGAAGCCTGTATCCCCCTCTCCCCCTTCACTCGTTTTGTCTCTCCCCTGACCCTCCTCCCTGACAGCCATCAGTTTGTTCTCTATATTTATGGGTCTGGTTCTGTTTTTTAGATGTCACACATAGAAGTGAAATAATGATTATTTGTCTTTCTCTGTCTGACTTATTTCACTTAGCATAATTCATCCTAGTTCCTTCCATGTTGTCGCAAATGGCAAAATCTCATTCATTTATGGCTACTTAATATTCGATTGTATGCGTTCACCACCTCTTCTCTACCCATTCACCTATCGATGGACACTTAGTTTCCTTCCATAACTTGGCTACTATAAATAATGCTGCAGTATAAACAAGAGTGCATATATCTTTTTGAATTAGTGTTTTCATTTTCTTTGGTCGTGGAATTATTTCTATTTTTAATTTTTTGAGGAACCTCCACACTGTTTTCCACAGTGGCTGCACCAGTTTACATTCCCACCAACAGTGCACGAGGCTTCATTTTTCTCCACATCCTCACCAACACTTCCCGTTCTTGTCCTTTTGATAGTTATTCTGACAGGTGTCAGGGGATCTCATTTTGGTTTTGATTTGCATTTCTCTGATGACTAGTGATATTGAACCTTTTTTCATGTGTCTGTTATCCATCTGGCTGGATGTCTTCTTTAGAAAAATGTCTATTTGTGTCCTCTGTCCATTTTTGAATAGGAGTTGTTTTTTTGGTTTTGAGTTGTATGAGATTGATAGATCGATCAATCAGATAGATAGATAGATAGATATTGATATGAGATATACAGACATATATGATATTAGCCCCTTACCAGATATATCATTTGCAGATATCTTCTCCCATTCCATAGGTTGCCTTTTCATTTTGTCAATCAAAAGCTTTTTATATCGTCTAGTCTCAATAGTTTATTTTTCCTTTTGTTTCCTTTGCCTGAAGAGACACATCTAGAAAAATGTTGCTAAACCTAATGTCCAAGAGATGACTGCCTGTGTTTTCCCATAGGAGGTTTATGGCTTCCTGTCTCACATTTAGGTCTTTAATCCCTTTTGAGTTTATTTTTGTGTATGCTATAAGAAAATGGTCCAGTTTCATTCTTTTGAATGTAGCTGTTCAGTTTTCCCAGCAACCTTTATTGAGACTGTCTTTTCTGCATTGCATATTCTTGCCTCCTTTGTCAAGATTAATTGGCCATATAACTATGGGTTTATTTCTGGGCTGTCCATTCTGTTCCATTGATATACGTATCTGTTTCTGTGCCAGCACCATACGCTTTGATTAATGCAGCCGTGTTGTATCTCTTGAAGTCTGGGAGCGCGATGCCTCTAGCTTTGTCCTTCTTTCTTACAATTGCTTTGGCTCTTTGGGATCTTTTGTGGTTCCATACATTTTTAGTATTTATTTGTTCTAGTTCTGTAAAAAATTCTTTGGTATTTGAATAGAGATTGCATAGGAACAGTCTATGGACTGTTCTATGTGGTTGGGACATTTTGACAGTATTTCTGTCCATGAGCATGGAGTATCTTCCCATTTGTGTATGTCTTCTTCAGTTTTTTCATTAGTGTTTTATTATTTTCAGAATATAGGTCTATCACCTCTGTGGTTAAGTTTATTCCTAGGTCTTAACTCTTTTGGGTGCAACTATAAATGGAATTATTTTCTTAATTTCTCCTTCTGCTACTTTGCTATTAGTATGTAGAAACGACAGATTTCTCTATATGAGATTCGTATCTTACAACTTCACTGAATTCATTTATTCTAATATAGTTTCTTGGTGGAGTCTTTAGGGTTTTCTGTTCTATCATGTCATCTGCTTATAATGACAGATTCACTTCAGTTTGGATGTGTTTTCTTTCTTATCTGATTGCTATGGCTAGGATGTTAAATAAAAATGGCAAGAATGTACCTCCCTGACTTATTCCTGATCTTAGGAGGAAAGCTCTCCGTTTTTCACCATTGAGTATGATGTTAACTGTGGGTTTTTCATAGATGGCCTTTATTATCTTGAGGTATATTCCCTTTATATCCACTCTGTTAAAAGTCAGATCCGTTTATTTTTAACCCTCTTTTTAATAATATATTAACATATATTTTAACAAGTAATAAAACAAATAAATACATTAAAATGTTATTAAAATGCATATTTGTATTATTATATTTATAGTATACAATATACTTATTATATAATATATAAATAAGTTTAATGTATTAAAACATATGTGAAATATATAATTATATATAATTAGAATACTATGTTTATTACTTTACATTCCTATTACATATGCATTCTTTTGTATATAACAAAAGATTTTTATATAAATGTATATATGTATGTATTTATAATACATATGTATTATATACATGCTTGTAATACATATGTATTATATATATTTATACAAAAATCTTTTGTTATATACAAAAAAATACACATGTAATAGGAATGTAAAGTAATAAACATAGCATTCCGTTGACTACCA